GAGTACTAGCATTTTTCTAATGTAATTCAATATTGTTGAAAACAATTAAAATGGCTTGTGTATATATATACACACACACACATACACATACATGCATGTATATACATATGCACATACAGACAAAAATGTATGTATATTCACACATGTGTACACACTCACACATACATATAGTTTTACATCCATAGTCTATAAATGTTGCTTTTTTGTGGTCACATTTTTGCTAAGTCTCACACTTTTTTTTTTTTTTTTTTTTGAGACAGAGTTTTGCTCTCATTGCCCAGGCTTAGTGCAGTAGTGCGATCTCACTTCACTGCAACCTCCACCTCCCAGGTTCAAGCAGTTCTCCTGCCTCAGCCTCCTGAGTAGCTGGTACTACAGGTGTGCGCCACCATGCCTGGCTAATTTTTGTAGTTTTTTAGAGAGACGAGGTTTCACCATGTTGGCCAGTGTCTCAAACTCCTGACCTCAAGTGATCTACCTGCCTCAGATTCCCAAAGTGCTGGGATTACAGATGTGAGCCACTGTGCCCGGCCAAGTCTTACACAGTTTTTTTTTTTTTTTTTTTTTTTTTTACCACTAAGCTGTTTACCCAAACCTGATAACCCAAGTCAACAGCTAGTATGGCTCATATAGTCTTATGTAAACAAAGATACAAATATATAGAATTTTCTTGATTAATATTCAGAAAAAAATGGAGTCCCTTTATATGTACTTAGTATCTGCTTTACTCATTTAAAAATGTATTATGTTATATAAAAGTATCCAGGTCAAATGTTTTAGATGTGATTCATTCTTTTAACTGTGTTATTTTTCTGCAATGACTATGTATCACAATGTACCCAGTCTTCCACTGATGAAAATTTGGGCTATTTCCAGTTTGTCTTCCATTTTTCCTTCTTCCACTTGTATTTTTACTCAATGTGTTTATTAATTTAAGAAGAATCAATAGTTTTTATGGTATTACTTCTCCCATTCAAGAATATAGCATATGATATAGCATAGTAGAGTACTTAGTTCAGTTTAGCTAGATCTTGTTTTCTGCCCTTTAATAAAATTTTATCATTTTCTGCCTTTGAGTCACATTTTCCTTGTTCTTATAATTCCTAAAAAATGTATAGTTTTCATTCTTAAGGAACATAAAAAAAAAAAAAAAACTTCTTTGTATTTCTATTCCTGTCTAGTTAATTCTACTATTGGGAAAAGTAACTGTTAAAAAAAAAATTCTCATCTTTCCAGTCAGTTCACCACATTTCCTTTATACCTTTGTACTTTAATCCCCAGTCATGTTGAACACTTCTTATTCCTCACACCAAGCCTCAATGGGTTTGCTTTTTCTGGAAGGTGCTTCCCCTATATTACTGACTTATTCGTACCACGCATGAAGACTGGCGCAGCCCTGTTCCACCTGGGAAGCCTTCCCCTGATACTCCTAGCTGGCAGGCGTCTTCATTTGTTCTTTTCTAGTTACCTGTGCAAGTTCATATTGTTCATGTTTATCACCCTTCATCCTAGTTGTCTGTCTCTGTGTGTGGTCTCACTCAGTGAACTCTGAACTCCTGTGAAGTCATGTCATGGGTCAGATCTTAATAAATTAATATTCTCAGAAGCGAATGCCATGTCTAGAATACAGCAAATTTGTCAAAAAAAAAAAAAAATAGTATAGTGGCTGGGCGCAGTGGCTCAAGCCTGTAATCCTAGCACTCTGGGAGTGGAGGCAGGAGGATCACATGAGGTCAGAAATTCAAGACCAGCCTGGCCAAAATGGTGAAACCCCATCTCTACTAAAAATACAAAAATTAGCCGGGCGTGGTGGTGCACACCTGTAATGCCAGCTACTCAGGAGACTGAAGTGAGAGGATCACTTGAACCCAGAAGGCAGAGATTGCAGTGAGCTGAGATTGTCCCACCCCACTCCAGCCTAGGTGACAGTGAGACTCTATCTCGAAATAATAATAATAATAATAGTATGGAATTCAACTGCTCTGATTGGGAATAGCTGTTTTTAAAAAAATCATTACTATTTTTTAAGTTCCTGGGTACATGTACAGGATGTGCAGGTTTGTTACACAGGTAAACGTGTGCCATGGTGATTTGCTGTACCTATCAATCCATCACCTAGGTATTAAGTACAGCATGTATTAGCCCTTTTACCTAATGCTCTTCCCCACCCCCACCCCATCCTCCCCCAACAGGCCCCAGTGAGTGTTGTTCCCCGCCCTGTGTCCATGTGTTCTCATTGTTCAGCTCCCATTCCTAAGTGAGAACATGTGGTGTTTGGTTTTCGGTTCCTGCCTTAGCTGTTAATGTCAGGCCAGAGAGACTTAAATTTTGAAGGATCTCTGGACTTTTCTTCTCTGGACATTACTCTTGATGTTTATAAATGTTACAGATATAACTTCTTTAATTTCATTAAATGTATATACCTTATTGAGTTGATTTAACTGAGTTGACTTTGTTATATGAAAATCATGATTGGGAGTGAGGGATTTAAACCAGCTACCAAGATCTTGATTGTTGGTGGTGACCCAATGCAAGAATTCATTCATTCAGTAAACTAATGTTTATTAAGCGTATACTGTCTTAGTCTGTTCAGACTGCTATAACAAAATATCATAAACTGGGTGACTTATAAACAACAAAAAATTTATTTCTTACAGTTCTGGAGGTGGGAAGTCTAAGATTAGGCTCTGGCAAATTTAGTGTCTGGTGAGGACCTGCTTACTGGTTTACCGGTAGCCATCTTTTTGCTGAATCCTAACATGGCAGAAGGGTTGAATAAACTTCCTTGGGTTTCTTTTATAAGGACACTAATCCTAGTTATGAGGTTTCTGCCCTCATGGCATAACTACTGCCCAAAGGCCCCTCCTTCTAATATTATCACTTTGTGGGTTAGGATTTCAACATGAGTTTTGAGAGGATACATACATTTGGATCATAGCACATACCATAAGACAGACACTGTGCCAAGAATTGCGAATATAGTGATTCTCAAAATGGACAAGATCCCTTCAGAGAGCTTGCAAAATCCAACTATAAAATTATGCTTTTTAAACAAATTATGCAGTTTGAAGAATCTACTCTGAATCTTACTTGTGGCATTGAACACTTTCGGCCACTCTTTCCTGATTATATTAAATATTTACTCCTGTTTAGGGGATCCAGTCTCAGTTACTTTTTCTACCGGAACTGGTACCGGCTCATGCTCTGCCTTGATGCAAATTAAGAAAATATCATACCTTTTGGATAAATTAAGCCAAGAAAATTCTGATTTCTTTTCTTTCTTTTCTTCTTTGTTCTTTTTTTTTTTTTTTTGACAGGGTCTTGCTCTGTTGCCTAGGCTGGAGTGCAGTGGTGCAATCTCAGCTCACTGCAACCTTGACCTCCAGGGCTCAAGCAATCCTCCTGCCTCAGTCTCCTGAGTAGCTAGGACTATAGGTGCATGCCACAACATCAAGCTAATTTTTGCATTTTTTGTGGAGACAGGCTCTGCCTATGTTGCTCAGGCTGGTCTTGAACTCCTGGGCTTATGCGATTCTCCTGCCTCAACCTCCCAAAGTACTGGGATTACAGGCATGAGCCACTGCCCCTGACCATTATGACTATTTTCATTGGCTTATCAGGCAAATAATAACTATAATAAATCAATCACCAGAATTTTTAATTAAAGAAAGGAAAGAATTGTTTCGACTCTTCCTGCTACCCCTCTGTCCCTCAAAAGGGTATGCTGAATGTTGTCCTCCAAAGACATCCATGTCCTAATCCCTGGAACCTGTAACTATGTTACCTTATATGACAAAAGGGACTTTACATGTTTAATAAGTTAAGAATTTTGAGATGGGCAGATTTTCCTGAATTTTGCAGATGGGACCTAGTGTAATCACAAGAATCACAAGGGTCCTTATAAGAGAGAGGCAGAAGAGTCAGAATAAGAGAAAAATACTTGAAGATGTTACACTACTGGCTTTAAGGTGGAGGAAGGGCCAAGAGCCAAAAAATGCAGTGCTCACTACAAGCTGAAGAGAAAAAGAAATGGATTTTCCCCTAAAGCCTCTGGAGGGGGCATAACCTTGCCAATACCTTGAGTTTGGCTCACCGAAACCCATTTTGGACTTCTGACCTTTAGAACTGTAAATAAATAAATAATTGTGTGTTGTTTCAAGCCACCACAGTTGCGGTAATTTACTACAACAGCAATAAAATAGAATTAGATACAGAGATCTGAGGAGTCGAGTAGGATAAGCCTACTCCAGCAGGTTATGTGGGGAGCATGCTGAGACTCACTAGGATGGGGGAACTCAGTTAAGGAAGTTTGAAGTTGATAAAGCCAGAGAGGGAAGGCTCTCACCTCATTTTATAAGGGTTGCATCACACTAGGAAAATCCAATAGCAACCACAGTCTCAAAATTAATAATTACAAATAGGACTCAATTCCAAGAGTCAGGAGTCAAGCAGGAACTGGATTAGGAAAGACATGCATGATATGAAACAGGAAGGAGGGCTACAATGCAGCTTCCTGGGAAGTTGCCAGGGTAGTCACGGTTCACATTCATTAGGCTGTGGGCACCAAATGCGTATGGAAAATCTAATTGACTTAACTGAACTCCTAAAGCGGAATGAACACCTCATTTATTGAAGAACTACTACCAATTAGCATATGTATTTCATTTGTTCAATAATCCCATGAGCAGAGTATCACAATCCTTGCTTTACTAAAGCGGAAGCCAATTCAAAGAGGTTCAGTGACTTGTCCAAACTCAGGGAAAACGCTAGGAAGTGAATATGGGTCTGACTCCATCTCTGATTTCAGGAGCCCTGCCCTTTCTTCCACACCATGCCCCCTTGCTTTCAGAAAAAAAGGCTTGTTGACTGAATGGTTGTATGCACAGTTCAAAGCAGAAACACGCAATGACATCTTTTGAGATACTCTAACAGTGAGAACTTGAAAATGAAGTTAAAAATTAAGCGGCAAAGCCAAACCGAGGCTTTCTGAGAAAGTGGGGCCAAACCTGGTGCTGTCTGACTGCCAGGTGGCTCATTATTTATCCCTGTAAAACCCTGCAAAAGTATTTGAAAGGGAAGAAGGGACAGAAAACTCCCTCTTTTTCCAAGTTAGCCTTATAGTCTAGGGCTTAAAATACTGGTTTAATGGTGAAGGTAAGTGCTTTTCTTCTTTATGGGTAGAAGGATAATTACTAACTTACCAAAGGTCCATTAAGGGGAGGGAACAGTTTTAGGAGAAGTCAGAGAAAAGACATTAACAGCAACATAAGGATCTCCATCTGGTAATATTGCCTAATTCCAAAATGAAGAGACTTTCTGAAAAAGATAACTGATTCAATCAAGACCCTAGGGCAAGGCTTGAGAAGCCACTGGTTCACCAATGGACACTGTGGACAATGGTCATTTCTCCAAGGACGCTGTGAGTATTAACTGTGATGCTGTGATTAGTTGGACTGGGTTTGGCTGTGGATGAAATACTGATCATAACTGACAAGATTTGTGTTTGGGACTGTGGCTAACGAGTCTTTTCAGACTTCTATATGAATTTGAAATAGTCCCTCAGGAAAAAGAGAACATGGCCGGGTGCGGTGGCTCACGCCTGTAATCCCACCACTTTGGGAGGTTGAGGCGGGCAGATCACTTGGGGTCAGCAGTTTGAGACCAGCCTGGCCAACACGGTGAAACCATGTCTCCACTGAAAATACAAAAATAAGCTGGGCGTAATGGCGCATGCACCAGCTATTCAGGAGGCTGAGGCAGGAGAATTGCTTGAACCTGGGAGGTAGAGGTTGCAGTAGTTGAGATCATGCCACTGCACTTCAGCCTGGGTGACAGAGTAAGACTCTGTCTCTCAAAAAGGTAATAATAATAAAGGGAAAGAGAACATACCAAAGATGAATAAGACTGAAGGCAAGAAAATTGTATGCTTGGAGAGATCACCTAGCTTGTTACCTTCATTGTACAGCTAAGAAAAGGCACCCAGGGACATTGTGGTCAGCACCAATTTCTCAGAAAGACATGCAGTTGATGAGAGGGTGCTCAGTTTTTCTAACACTGAAGGAATTGCTTCTTCCTATGTTTTCTGGTGAACCCCTCCCCACTCATCTTGTGGATTCCAGGCTAGAAGAATCCACTTTTGAAAAGTAGCATTTAAAACCAATTTAACCACCAATCGAAGGCACTTTTATAGAAATATATTTCATTTGCTGTAGGCCTGTACTTAGGGATCTGAGAGGGCCAGACTACCAATATTGTAACTGTTTATTATTATTGCTGTTGCTAGTATCTAGAATAGTATACAACGTTTAACACTTTGCAATTTACGAGGCATGTCTCATAGCTTTGTTTTCACTCCAAACTGCCCAGTGAAGTAACATTATCCCAATTCTTCCCATAAAACAGTTAAAGTCCTGAGAGTTTATGAAACTTTACCTGGTTTACTCAATCTGGGAATGGCAGAGCAGAATTCAGTCCTTGAATATCCTCCCAACTGCAGGTTCATGCTCTTTGATCTAGGTGTAACATTTATTCTGAGTAAACTAGGACTCTGGGCTAACAGAGATGATGCAAGACAGGCTGAATATTAGGAGAATCTAAGAGCCATCTAACAACCATTATAATAAAATCATGAGTTCTAGACTTAAAAAAAGGGGAAAACCTGTTTTTTCACTTATGCGTATACCATAATATGTACATTATTGATTTTTTTCTCAAATTCAATCTATACTGTGTCAAGTAATTTTTTTAATATAACATTTTCCTTTAACCTAATTTCAATTCATTTTTCTGTGTCTACTTACAACTTTGGCACTAGAAATCACAATTATTTTTTTAGAGGTATAGCTCCTTAAAGGGTAGGGTTCTGACACTGTTACATGTTCTCAATTGTTTGCAAATAGGCTAATAATTATTCCACTGTCTCTAACTACATATCAACCATGCCAGTGTTCAGGCTCCATAATTTTATTAGCTTCTGTGCTTATTCTGGAAAAATATTTCCCATTACTATGAAATACCTCAGTTTAGAATGGTTTGGCATGTTAGCCTGATTTCTGCATTTGTCTCATGCAAAGGAAAATAGGAAATGAAGAACTGAAATTACCTATTGATACAAAATCAAAGTAGCATTTGAAACCATAAAACTTAAGTGGGCTTTTCATCCTTTCTCATTAGACAGCAGCAGAGAATGGGAAGAAAAACTGAAGTGATGGGTTTGTCATACAATTCCAGTAACATAAAGAGCAAGGAGAAGTAGTTTTGTTGTGTTTATGTTTAATACTCAAAGCTCAACTTAAAGGGATTTTTCATCATCAAATTTCCTTCTAGAATAAATGATTGGAACTTGATTTAAAATGTACGAATTCTCCTGTATAATACCTCAAAATGGAGCTATCCCATTGAGTTTTAAGCTTGTGCTTAAAATATTATGAAAATAAAGGGGAAGTTGTATTAATAGGTAGAACAAACAGCAGTCTGGGCATTAGGGGATCTGGTGCTGGCTCTGTGCAACATGTGGTTTCAGGCAACTTTTTAAATTTTCTGTACACAAATTTTCTTATCAATAAAATGAACAGTTGGGCCAGAGGATCTCTGAGTCTCTTTCAGCTTTCAGTGTTTATTAGATTGGAGAAGTTGGTGGGAAAGCTTTAAGTGGAGTGTAAGTAATTGCAGCTGCATGTACATTTAAAGAGTTGCCTTCAGCCAAGCCATGGGATCTTGCATAAAAAGTGAAATCAAATAGAAAACGGTCCAAACTCTGGGTTTGACCACAGGTGACTTCAGCTAGGATCTGAGTGTAGAGCAATGAGCTGAACTCCTGATGTCCAGATGTTAGCAAGACTTGGAGGCTTTCTAAAGCAAAGCAACAACCAGTATCTATCCTGGTGCTGACCTGATCTTACTAGCAATTGGGTCTCCATTTGAGTCCATTGTACAAAACAATAACAACAACAACAAAAACCCAAACACCCAAAATTGAAAATTTAGATGGAGAGACATTATTCTCAGAATTCTAGAGATACTTGGAAAGCAGAAAACTATACTTGCCATGCTGATGAAGTCCAATTATTGTTCTTTTAAACACATTTAGCTACTTCTGAATATAAAATGAGTATCTACTAATTATTTACTAAATCACTTGGTAAATACAGAAAATCACAAAGAATGAAGTGACCATCCTGCTTCGTAACCCAGAAATAGTCATCACCGGCACTTGTGTGAATCAGTTTCTATTCCTGTATGTGGACATGCATAGCGCACCCTGCTTTGTACACTAGAGTACTAGCATTTTTCTAATGTAATTCAATATTGTTGAAAACATTTTAAAATAGCTTCCATCACAATAATCTATCAAACTGACTTGCCAGACTCTCATTATTAGGTTAATTTATCTCTAACATTATGCGGTGATGAGTAATACTACAAAGGATATTTTTGGACAAAATTTTTCATCTATGCCTTTCCTTATAATCCTTCAGCCTAAGGTCACAGATTATGAATATCTTTAAAGGTATGGACAAGTCTTTTAAGTTTTGTGTGTAAAAGCAGTGCAAAGCCTTGAATGATAAAATATAGGTTTGATACATGTGTTTTTTGTTTGTTTGTTTTGAGACGGAGTCCTGCTCTGTCCCTCAGGCTGTAGTGCAGTGGCACGATCTTGGCTCACTGCAACCTTTGCCTCTTGGGTTCAAGAAATTATGCTGCCTCAGCCTCCTTAGTAGCTGGGACTGCAGGCATGTGCCACCACACCCAGCTAATTTTAGTATTTTTAGTAGAGATGGGGTTTCACCATGTTGACCAGGCTGGTCTCGAACACCTCACCTCAAGTGATCCACCCACCTCAGTCTCCCAATGTACTGGGATTACAGGTGTGAGCCACTGCACCCAGCCGATACATGTGTTTTTAAAGTCATAGAAGCTTCAGATGTCTTCAAGGATTTAAAAAAATTTAAAAAGTAAAGTCATAGAAGCTTCAATTTAGGAATGAATGGAAAATTGACGATATTTTTAGGATATGAATTTTTCCTAAAATAAACAAAATGTATGTATCCCCAAAGATAGTTTGATTAGTGTTCAAATATGAAATTAAACGTGTCCATATTTAGAGCCGTGAATTCTCTTTGCCTGTCACAATAGCTGGATTTATTCACAATTATAGTAAGAAGTCCCTGTTCATTATAATTTTCTAGGTGACATGAAGACTGTCAGTCCAATCAAGTGTCTACATTGTGTGTAGCAAATATGAGAATAAACATTTTAAACCTTTAATTGTAATACATATTAGTGTTATGTAATGCCATCCTTCATGTTCGAAGGCGCATGGAACATTGTTCTGGTGGTACAGAGGGGAGAGAAACACCATCAGAATGAAAGGAAAGACCGTTCTGGAACCTTACTCCTTCGCTCTTGAGCTTAGTTTAATTGTCCTGTCTTATGGTCTGCTACAAGCAATACTACTCCTCACCTTTGCATGCTTCTGTGTGGTTTAATAAAGTACATGCAATTTTTCATTTAATTCTTCCAGCTGCACTCAGAAAGGAGCCTTATCTTCATTGAACAGATGAGGAAATGAATGATTAGAGAATTTAAATGACTAACTCTAGGTCACACAGCTGGAAGTTATAGCCAGATTTCCTTTTAACAATCCTGTAACCAAAAGCATACCAGTGGTGCCCTATAAAATGTAAGTTATGGAGCTGTGTTGGGTCAAAACTTTTACTGATGCTAAGAGGAGGCAACATTAACAAGGGGAAATTATTTGTATATTATGTTTTGGATTATGTTCTCTCCATAGATAAAAGACTGTTGTAGTAAAAGAGATTCAGGGCACAGGGAAACTCCACCACAAAGCGTGGTACCATTTCCCACAGAAGCTAAATGGACGGGAAGCCTGCCACCAGGAAAGGTAAAGCCACTGCTCTTGTTTGCAGGCTATGTTAATAAGCTGAAGCTTATTCCAACCCATTTACACATCCCTGCATCACACTGCCCCTTGGTAAAGATACTCCCAGTGTAACATTGGAGCCAGCTCCAGCCCCAATCCTATTGCTTTTTCCTTAGACCCACAAAGTCATCTGTCAGAAATTAAGCCAAATAAGCAATACATCCTGGGATCTAGGGAGTGGAATAAGTTTTGGGAAAGTCTTTTTTTTTTTTCTTTTTTGACAGAGTCTTGCTCTGCCTCCCAGGCTGGAGTGCAGTGGTGCGATCTCAGCTCACTGCAACCTCTGCCTCTCGGTTTCAAGTGATTCTCATGCCTCAGCCTCCTGAGTAGCTTGGACTACAGGCATGCACCACCATGCCCAGCTGAGTTTTTGTTTTTTAGTACAGACGGGGTTTCACCGTGTTAGCCAGGATGGTCTCGATCTCCTGACCTTGTGATCCACCCGCCTCGGCCTCCCAAAGTGCTGGGATTACAGGCATGAGCCACCACGCCTGGCCCAGGAAACTCATTTTAAACCAACCTACGTATGAATTCCTACTATAATATTCTCGCCAAACGGCTGGCTCTTTCTCCTGAGCTTGGAAACCTCCAGTAAAATGGAAATAATTATTTCCCAGACCACCACTCTTATCTGTGAGCTTTTTTGGCCATTAAAATTATTTCTTCCATTATATTCTTATCTGTGTCTTCATAGGTTTTCTCTTCGTTTCGCGTTAGTGTTTTCCTTCAAATAAGCAGGAAAAATCCAATCTATCATGCACATGGGAACCCTTTCAATATTGCTCTGTGGTTGTTCCACTTTATGGGGATGCTTTTAAAGAAAAAATTTTTCCTTTCAATACATTGAATATCTTCCAGCACCACATCACCTACAAGCTTTGTAAAAATAGTTCTACACATTAATTTTTTTTTTTTTTTTTTTTGAGACTGAGTCTTGTTCTGTCACCCAGGCTGGAGTGCAGTGACATGATCTTGGCTCATTGCGACCTCTGCCTCCTGGGTTCAAGTGATTATCCTTACTCAGCCTCCTGAGTAGCTGGGATTACAGGCATGTACCACCATGCCCGGGTAATTTTTGTATTTTTAGTAGAGATGGGGTTTTACCATGTTGGCCAGGCTGGTCTCGAACTCCTGACCTCAAGTGATCCTCCTGCCTTAGCCTCCCAAAATGCTGGTACTACAGCACCCCACGCAATTTTTATTTTTTTAAGTTGAGCATATGTGAAGGCAGGGCCTAGTGACACATAGCAAAAACATTTCCAAGTAGACATTACACTAGGGAATTAGTCGAAGTGTTCTTTTAAAGTACTATCTCTCAAATGTATTAAAAGAGAATCCTTGGATGTGCAATACCTTAATTCAAAGGCAGCTCATTATGTATAAACTCTCAAGCTTTGTGATAAACAAATGTGCATAACAGATGGGACTATTGACTTACAGCCCAGAGAATTTTACTGATGCTGAGACGGTTATGTGACTGGCTCTGCCACTGTCATCCCCATTCACTTCGTTTTGGAGCAATATGACATAAATGCCTTACATTTGGGTTTTCTCTATTTATCATCTGCTTCCTACCCCCTTGAAAAATAGCCATATTTGCTTTACTTGGTTATAAGATCCCATATTCAATGTCTTGAAGCCAACCAAATCATTTGACAAAGTGGGTTTGTAGTGCCGGCTATTTTGGTGAAAATAAGACAATGAGATTTCATGACATCATCCAAAGTTCTATCAGATCTAGCTGTGGGAGAAAGGAAAAGAAGGGGGTCTCGGTCAGGATGCTCATTGCATACATGTGTGTTGTTCTCTAGGTCCAGATTTCTGTTCATTACGCTATGGGCTGGCTCTTATCATGCACTTCTCAAACTTCACCATGATAACTCAGCGTGTGAGTCTGAGCATTGCAATCATTGCCATGGTGAACACCACTCAGCAGCATGCTCTATCTAATGCCTCCACTGAGGGGCCTGTTGCAGACGCCCTCAATAACTCCAGCATATCCATCAAGGAATCTGATACAAAGGTAAGTATGACAGAAAATAGGGCTCTTTGTTGAGAGGAAAAAACTTTGAAAGGAAGGCATAGATCTTGATTCTCTGGAGTATAGAAGTATACATTTCCAATGACAAACTAAAACTGACTGGAACTGTTTTTCTTTGAGACGTTGATTACTTCTATAATAAAAATAAGATTTCATTGAGGTTATTATGATTATAAGGTGGGTGAACTGTAGGATTAAATGTGAAAAATTTAAAAATGGAACAGTTTATGTGATGTCTTCAATGAAAAACTAGGTATTACCTGGGCACATTCTTATAGGTTACTCAATCCTATCCAGTTCTCTGCCTGCTTTACTGTTTCTAAGCAATTTTATAACCCTGTAAATTCTATATAACAAATAGAAATGCAAATAATTCTTGTCCATAGCTTTGCAAATAAATTTTGCCAAGAGAAAAATCAGTTAAAACTTTTCTCCACTCACCTCCTAGTGGAAATCAGCCAATTTTGCTGTTTGTTTGTTTATTTATTTTTTGAGATAGAGTCTTTCTCTGTCATTCAGGCTGGAGTGCAGTGGCATGATTTCAGCTCACTGCAGCCTCCGCCTCCTGGGTTCAAGTGATTTTCCTGTCTCAGCCTCCTGAGTAACTGGGACTAAGGGGGCGTGCCACGACTGCTGGCTAATTTTTGTATTTTTAGTAGAGACAGGGTTTCACTAGGCTGATCTCGAACTCCTGACCTCAGGTGATCCACCCGCTTTGGCCTCCCAAAGTGTTGGGACTACAGATGTGAGCCACTGCACCGGGCTCTGCTGTATATTTAAAGTATATTTCAGCATTGCTTCCTGCTTGTGTTATGCGTGATTCTTTGAGTTTTCCTTTGAACCAGTTATAACATCTTATTTACTCCCTCCATTAATCAATGAGTTAAATAAAATCTTTGCTGTATGCTTATTTTACATTTATATGGAAACCATGAATTTACCCAATTAAAAAAATTATCCTTTAAATTATCTTGTACTGTACATTTTCAATGTCATCACTATAATTCATGATTAATGATTTTATTACATTGGACCCAGCTTATTTACAATGAGTACATAAATTTATTGTCTCCAGTCTTTCCTCCATTATCCCATCTACATATCCACACTGAGTAGATTCACTATTCAGGTATCTTGGATACCTTCAAGTTGTCAAACATACAGTGTTCACTGGACATGCTGTGTTCCTCCGGAATTTGGACCTACTTCTCAGCACACTCACATCTGCTATCAATGACCCATGGAAAGTTTTTGCTCTGAGCAAGCCAGAGTCCCTGTTAGTTTCTTCCAAATGCTACAAGGTCACTTTTGCAAATTTTTCCAATGAGATAAAATTTTCCTTTTTGACTTTCTATAAATCATAGTCATTTTTCAAGGGATAGTTCAAATATTGCTTCCTTTCTGGGACCTTCCTGAATTATTCTTTTTCCTCTCAAAGTTGCTGTTTTATTTATATTCATCCTCAAATCTTGATTCTCACATGATTCATATACCTTGTATTATTTATTGTTTTTTTGAGTGGGTAAAATATTTTATATCATATTTTATATCCTTTGGCTCTCTATAGCATGATGCCAGATATTTAGGGGCCTTATTGCATTTATTTTTTATTTTATTTTAAAATCTATTTTATTTATTTATTTATTTATTTATTTAATTTATTTTAAAATCTATTTATTTTTAGGTAAATATTCAGGTAATATAACTTATATAATTATTCAGGCATTTTAGGTAGTTATTTTAAAATAATTAAAATTATTTATTGAGTTGTATCAGAAGAATGTGATCTTATTCATTTGTAATATGTGTTTTAGAAACTCAGTTCAGCCAGGGCAGACCATAATTCCCAAACTTGATTTTTCTTTTTAATTAGGTACTGATTTTGGTTAAGAGTTCAGTAAAGCTTTGTGTGTGTGTTTTAAAAATTCTTTGAAATAAGAGTCAACATGTTACTCAACTTTTACTAGAAGCAAAATAGAGGAAGCACTTTCACAGATGAAATATCTCTCATTGTTTTCTTCCATTTACTTCTTCCTATTATTCATCTATATAATCATTTTCTTTACCTCTTTTCTTCATTTTTTCTGTTTTTCTCTCCTTCTAAGAAAGCAAATTAGGGGTATAATTGGTTGTTTGGGAAGGTAGGAAGAATATAGAGAAAAACAAAAATAGATATTTTATAGTAGGGTCTCACCAACCTCAAGCAACTCTGACTGTAAAGTAGATTTTCATAATAGGACTTCTTGACAAAGAGTTTTCCTATTTTCCCCCAGGCCTCTGTGTATCAGTGGAGCCCAGAAACTCAGGGTATCATCTTTAGCTCCATCAACTATGGGATAATACTGACTCTGATCCCAAGTGGATATTTAGCAGGGATATTTGGAGCAAAAAAAATGCTTGGTGCTGGTTTGCTGATCTCTTCCCTTCTCACCCTCTTTACACCATTGGCTGCTGACTTCGGAGTGATTTTGGTCATTGTGGTTCGGACGGTCCAGGGCATGGCCCAGGTATCCAGATACTTTCTCATTCTGGGTGGGATCCAGATTCCTGAATTCTACAAAATATCAAAGGTCTTAATGATTTTCATTTCAGGGAATGGCATGGACAGGTCAGTTTACTATTTGGGCAAAGTGGGCTCCTCCACTTGAACGAAGCAAGCTCACCACCATTGCAGGATCAGGTAAGTGTGCACACATGGGTCATAGCTTTGTCATCTGTTCCATCCTACTGTGTCTTATCATCTATGAATCAAATAGTTTAGGGAAGAGGGAGAAAAACTACTACGGAAAAATTCAACAATACAAGACAGTTGCATCACAAATAACAAAGATGCATCTGTACAGTAAACACATCGAGGCTTAGAAGTAGAAGAAACCACTGTGAGCTAGGATTCAGCTCAGAAAAGCCTTAGTAGTCAGAAAAGCCTTGTAGGAAAATGTTTAAACCTTTAAGAATTGCATAAATGGAAAAAAGATCAAGTAAACTATATATACACCATCTTAGCAATGATTTTGCAGTGAGAATTAAGGCTACCACAGCTCCAAGTGGTAAGGAGAGAAATGAGGCTAGAAGAGTTTGGAGTTTCTGTATTATTCTAAGCTCTTGACTATTCTATTGTGAGCTAATTAATTCTCACAACAACCATCTCATGTAAGTACCATTTTAAATTCTTATTTTACAGAGAAGGGAGTTAAGGAAGGTGGAGATTAAGAAAATTGCCCAAATACAAATAGCCAGCAGGCGGTAGGTCTGAGATTTAAGCCCACCCAAATTTTAGCCCCAGAGCAGACACCCTTAATCACTATGCTAGACTGCCTTTCCGTGGTATGTGATCCTACTAAGGCCTCTACAACTTTATCAGTGCTGTTCTTCCCAGCCCGTCATGCTGAGAGTATATACTCGAAGAGCAGAACTAAGATTCCATCAAGCTTCTCGCTCCTAGGTCCACTACACAGCTGCATCCTGCAGACTTTTACCTCAAGTAACCCTCCTGCTTTCTTGCTTCCTTCCATCATAGTTGTCCCCACCTCCTCTATTTGCAAATACTATCTGCTGATCTCTCTCTTCTAGACTGGTTTCTTTCAACCTTCCTTCCACCAAAACCAAGTTATCTTGCTAAAGTAAAGATGAGGGCCGGGCGCCGTGGCTCAAGCCTGTAATCCCTGCACTTTGGGAGGCCGAGACGGGCGGATCACGAGGTCAGGAGATCGAGACCATCCTGGCTAACACGGTGAAACCCCGTCTCTACTAAAAAATACAAAAAACTAGCCGGGAGCGGTGGCGGGCGCCTGTAGTCCCAGCTACTCGGGAGGCTGAGGCAGGAGAATGGCGTAAACCCGGGAGGCGGAGCGTGCAGTGAGCTGAGATCTGGCCACTGCACTCCAGCCTGGGCGACAGAGCTAGACTCCGTCTCAAAAAAAAATAAAAAAATAAAAAAAAATTTAAAAAAAAAGTAAAGATGAGGCATTTTTCCTCACCTGCTTGATAATTTTCAATGTGTTCCTTCATGTTTACAGACTAAAGACTGACCTCTTTATTGCATGGATACAAAAGTTCTCAGCCATCTGGCCCCAACCTTATTCCACTCAACTCCCCTGTGCAAGCATGGCTCTAGTGGCACCGGACATTGGCTGCTCCCCACATAGATCTGCACTGCACTTCCCTCTGGCTCTGCTCCCATTAGTTTATATGCCTGGAAAGTTCTTTGCCCCTGCTCCTTGTGCCAAAATTCTATCTATCCTATTGTGTAGCTTATGTAAAAACTTCCTAAATCTTATAATTATTGTCAATTATTATTATTACTTCCACGCACATTGTAGTTTTATTATCACACTTATATTTTACATCTTTTTTTTTTTCAAATTACAGGTTGGAACCCATTAATGAGTCATAAAATCCATTGAGTGGGTTAAAATCATTATTTTAAAAAATGAATAGAATAGAATAGAATAGAGTAGAATAGAATAGAATAGAATAGAATAGAATAGAATAGAATAGAATAGAATAGAATAGAAATTGTTGGAGTGCATTGGACATGGTAAAGTTAAATATTGATTCATGAAACCATTGAGGCATATGTGTGTGGTTGTGTGTACAAGTGTTTATGTATATTGGTGTGTGTGTTATGTTACCCTGTAAAATGCATTTCTTACTATGGGCCTCTGTGAATTATGTTTCTTGTTGTTGTTGTTTTTTTTTAATGTAGACTCCAAAGCCTACATGGCATTTCACTAGTGACAATCAATTTTATTCACATTTTTCTCTCCAATTGGACCAGAAGCTCTTTGAGGGCAGGGGCTGTGTCTTACTGAATTTTGTAAGTCTTTCATTTCCTGCCCCCAGCCTCATATTAGATCATACAAGAATGCAACTGTAATCACAAGAAAATACTAATGGGCTATGATAGCAGAGAGTTGCTGTGACAAACTAAGGGATTTAGATTTGGTCACATTGGTGTTGAGGAGTCATTGAAGAATCAGAGGGTTTGTTACTATTATTTATTAATTTTAATTATATCATATATATTACTTTATTGGGGAAAATCTGTGAGCAGAAATAATTACTCTCATTGCCCAATAATTCTAAGTCTGCCATCTCACTGTTGGGACAATGTTTAGAGAGGCCATGAAGTCTCAGCCTTTGCTATTTTCATAAGTGTTTTTCTCCCTCTTGCCTTTAGGATCAGCATTTGGATCCTTCATCATCCTCTGTGTGGGGGGACTAATCTCACAGGCCTTGGGCTGGCCTTTTATCTTCTACATCTTTGGTGAGTCACTTTCTCTTAAATCCTAATGCCTCCATTTCCTGAGCATCCGTTTTGGCACCTACATCACCCACATTCTTCCTATATGAAAGAAAATGTCCTTTATCAAATGGAAGATGATAACAAATGTCAACGGTTGGTATCATTTTTAATCTAGTCACACAACTTGATTAACACCTTCCTGGTGGTTCTGGAAAGCCACATGCACAGGATAGAGGAGTTGACTATTCACATGGCACTGACTTGTGATGCAGTCTTGTGCTTCCATATTAAGCATCTTCTGTAGAATCTCTACCACCACATCTAAAGTGCCTGTTACATGCAGTTAAGATGTCAGAGATAGTGAAGTACATCTTCAATGTGTCTTCATATTTTATTATAATTATTATTTTTGCCCAAGATGCCGTTCACCTATTCTCTACCAAGTTCATCTTGCAAAGCTCGATTCAACTGTGCCCTTCCCCATGGGCCCTTCCAGGGCTTACTCTATTAGATTCTGGCATTCTCTCATTTATGATATTTCCTCTCTAGGTTATGTTGGTGTGTAATTATTTATTTCTCCTTTTCTTTCCACTAAACTGTGAAATGCTTGAGGCAAGGAATCCATTCTACAATGTTTTCATCACTTGGGTATCATCATAGTGCCTGATTTTTAGCTTTAAAATGAAAGAATCAGTGAATCCAGTAAATAGATGGAATTTAAAGAAAACTAGTCCTCAGAATCTTTTAACATAGAATGTTCTTCAAATAACAAATTCCAGTAATAAGACAATTTTCTACACTTGATTTTGTTGTTATAGCCAAATGGTATCATTAAATATAGTCCTGGCCTGAATGGCTTTCTCATTAATGGTGTTAATTATTTTGGTTTGTGCATGTTAACCAGGTATTGTACAGAAATATTTCTTTTGGGAATCCATAATGGATGTATGACTTGAATACAAATAACACTGTCTCTTGTAAGTGCATTGGAAATTTTTTCCTGCTACATGATTTCATGGAAGGTTGTTTCGAGTATGTGTGACTGCAATCCTGACTATTCAGATCTTCCACAAGACAATTTATGTGTGCATTAAGAAGTTGCTGCTCAAAATACATAACACTATAATCATTGGAGGCTTTAAAGTAGTTAATCAGCTATACAATGCCATGCTCATGTTATCTCCAGAGGGCTCTGACATTGACAAAAGGTGGCTTTCTATTTGAGACATAGTATCTTAAAAACTTTAACAGGTTTGTAGAAGGATTGAAAGAAAGAATGGGAACATTTAGGTCCTTATGGTAGAGTAAGCATTAATTGATTAGTGTGTAGAAGGGAGAGGCATGCCACTTCAGAGGAAACTCCCTTCCCCTAGTAAACAAATCTACCTAAAAACTAATTTTATACCTTCTTCCCAGGTAGCACTGGCTGTGTCTGCTGTCTCCTATGGTTCACAGTGATTTATGATGACCCCATGCATCACCCATGCATAAGTGTTAGGGAAAAGGAGCACATCGTGTCCTCACTGGCTCAACAGGTACAGTGCACACCTTGTACCTGTGGCCCATGCAGAGGTCTCTAGGGCAGGGTGTGGATCTCCTCTGAGAGGCACCATCTTGGCTGCTCTAATACTCATGCTGATTAGATATTTCTTTTTAGCCCAGTTCTCCTAGACGTGCTGTCCCCATAAAAGCGATGGTCACATGCCTACCACTTTGGGCCATTTTCCTGGGTTTTTTCAGCCATTTCTGGTTGTGCACCATCATCCTAACATACCTACCAACGTACATCAGTACTCTGCTCCATGTTAACATCAGAGATGTGAGTTTACTTCCTATACTTCTATGAAAACGATAATGGTAATAAGTAGAAACAGTTCTGTGTTACCTATTACATTCTGGCTTTACATATAACCATTAATTTAACCTTCATGATGACCTTAAGATAGGTGTTGTTATAATTCCCTTTTCACAGATGTGGAAACAGGACACTTAGGGGTGAGATAACTTGCCTCAGGTTGCACAATACTAAGTGGTAGAGCTGCTGCAGCATCCGTATTCTTAACCACTATGCTATACTAACACACCAGCTGATTCCAAAGTTTCTTTTAGAAATTAATATTGTTGGGCTGGGCACAGTGGCTCATGCCTGTAATCCCAGCACCTTGGGAGGTTGAGGCAGACGGATTATGAGGTCAGGAGTTCAAGACCAGCCTGACCAATATGGTGAAACCCCATCTCTACTAAAAATACAAAAATTAGCCAGGCATGGTGGCAGGCGCCTGTAATCACAGCTATTCAGGAGACTGAGACAGGAGAATCGCTTGAACCTGGTAGGTGGAGGTTACAGTGAGCCAAGATCGTGCCACTGCACTTCAGCCTGGGCAACAAAGTGAGACTCCATCTCAAAAATAAAAAACAACCAAGAAATCAATATTGCTTTTCTCTGGAGCCCAGAGTGATGCAGCTTCTGGCCCTCTTATCTGAGACAGTGTTCGTCTAGTGTGAAAAATGACGCTAATTTTCCCCCAAACAACCCACAATATCATGGGAGTAAGTTAATGGCTGGTCTGTGTAACTGATAAATTTTGGTGCTAACATATCTCTGTAACTACTCTGTATAAATTTCCTTCCTTCAGAGTGGAGTTCTGTCCTCTCTGCCTTTTATTGCTGCTGCAAGCTGTACAATTCTAGGAGGTCAGCTGGCAGATTTCCTTTTGTCCAGGAATCTTCTCAGATTGATCACTGTGCGAAAGCTCTTCTCATCTCTTGGTAAGGATAAGCGTGTGGGCTCATTTAACCAATTCCTTTTCTGCACATGGTCTCAGAGGGTTCCCTGACAGCATGTCCTCATTGCCCAGGGCTCCTCCTTCCATCAATATGTGCTGTGGCCCTGCCCTTTGTGGCATCCAGTTACGTGATAACCATTATTTTGCTGATACTTATTCCTGGGACCAGTAACCTATGTGACTCAGGGTTTATCATCAACACCTTAGATATCGCGCCCAGGTAAGAGCTCTACCTGTTTTTTCCCCTCCTCCAGACCCCTCCAGAGGTGTTAGACCTTAGTAGTCACCGTGAAACTCTTTAATGTTACTTACATGCACTAATGGCAGAGAGACAAATAACTACAAATGTTTGTCTATGGCCATTTTTAGAACAACAAATGTGGCATTTTTAGAACAACGATTTCCAGCCTTGGCCAGTAATCATTTTGATAAAAAGCTTCCCAAGGTTCCCTAACAGAGATTGAACTGTGTATGCTGGGAAAAGGCCCACACATGTGATTTAGAAAAGTTTCCATGGTGTTGTTCATATTAGCTACCACATATATATACAGTCATAGTAAGCCAGCTCCTGTGCCAAGACTTGCCATGTATCAACACATCTAATCCTCGCAGTTACATTAGGTAGGTCCTATTGTTATCCCCATTTTATAAGGGAGAAGGCTGAGGCACAAGGAGGTTAAATGGTGTGACTATGGTCACATAGAGGCAGAGCCAGGATTTGGACCCAGGGAGTTTGGCTTTGGAGTCTGTGTCCTGCCCGTTGCACAAACTGGCTTCTACACTGAGCTGCCAGGGTAAAGAAACTCAGTTCTCAAAGAGACTGCATTGCTCCCTGGTTATTGACTCAGTAGGTTGGTAATTTCAGGTTTGGCAAATAGACATTGCCCTGAATGTCTTTAGGTGAATGAAAAACTGCATTAAGCAAAATGACTTTGCCATAAGAGCTGAACTGTGTTAAAGTTGAGTTGCTGCAGAAGCTGTAGGTGGCTTTCTATATAAAATCATTTATAAAATAATCTTCCCACAGATATGCAAGTTTCCTCATGGGAATCTCAAGAGGATTTGGGCTCATCGCAGGAATCATCTCTTCCACTGCCACTGGATTCCTCATCAGTCAGGTTGGGCCAGTTTATTGAACATCTTCAAGTGGCAGGTATTGTTTTAGGTGTTGTAGATACACACAGTGCTCACAAGGTCTGGATGGCAACACAATTACTCTATTTACATGAGCCTCTAAATCAGACTCTGATCGGTCAGATTTCCCAGGGAAAGAAAAATATAAGCTTATTTTCTCAAGATGAATAGAGATGAGATTGATTAAAATGAGCTGTTCTGGTGCAGAAGACAGCATGTATGGCTTCCTAGAGGTACATGAGCATGAAACAATTCTTAGTTATGAATAGAATGAATGACACATGTCAAGGAATAGCAAGAGATGAAAACAGAGGGGCATAAGAAGATCATGAAGAATATGTTCAGACTAATTCCAATTTTTAAAAAATCACAAAAGGGAAACAAAGTATCCCAAGGCCTGTTTAAAGACAATTTAATGGCTGAAAAGAGATTGACTGTGAGACATTGCAAGGAGGATTTCTCAGTGTTTGGAAATGCAGGCTCATGAGGAAGACAAAAAGACAGACCCAGTCAGGGATGGAAGGACTGACGAGAACCAACTTACAAAGAGAAGTTTTATTTTTACTGTATTTCTATGTGATCAAGTTGCCAGGTTAATATTTGACTAAACTGCTAGGAATCCACTGTGACTATAATGCTGGAAATTACTTAGTAGGGCTTTCTGAGGAGGGTCACACAGAAGACCAAATAGAACTCGTGTTGAATTGGGATGGGTTGTAGTGATAGATGTCAACAGCCAAAACCAAACCAAACCAAACCAAACCAAACCAAAATAAAAAAACAGAGAAGACACAAACACGACGCCATGGTGCCATTTTAGGCATAATTTTAAATCAGTAATATTATACATTGAAATCCAAATTTTCAGAAAAACATTAGTGTATTTTATTTTTATTTAAAGAAATAACCATCTCAACTCAGAACCCGATGTGCATTTTGGCCATTTTGTTTCCAATAGTTTCATAAACTTTCTTAAGTAGCTACTGCACATTGTTCATTATATTCCTTGTGATCAACATTGCAATACACAACTTGGAGGGCTTCTAGAACTGGTATAGAAGGAGCTTGTGAGATTGATCATTTTTCTGTGTTTTTTACCTCTAGGATTTTGAGTCTGGTTGGAGGAATGTCTTTTTCCTGTCTGCTGCAGTCAACATGTTTGGCCTGGTCTTTTACGTCACATTTGGGCAAGCAGAACTTCAAGACTGGGCCAAAGAGAGGACCCTCACCCGCCTCTGAGGACATAAAGTTACAAACTTAAATGCAGTACTGAGCATGAACTTTTTAAACATTTTTTACTTATCTTCATATTCTTGACCATAGACTCAGCAGTTCTTAACTCTCGCTGTGTGTTAGTCTTCCCTGGGGAGCCTTTATAAGATACTGATGCCTGGGACTCACTCCAGGGATTCTGAATGAATTGGTCTGGGGTGGAACCCAGATACCACTAATTTTTAGATACTCCTTAGAGGTTTCTAGCATGTACCTGGGGTTGACAACAGCTGGACAAACTTGAAAATCCATGTGGCCTTTGAATTTTCCTCATTGGAAAGTACTAAATAAATAAAAATTCATGTGAAAATGATCACTGATAAATATCTTCATAGTGGGGCAGGTTATTGGATACAGAGAAGAGCTGCTCGGAATTGTAACCATATGTTACAGATCTCAGCACCCATCAGAACTGTAAAGCTATAATCCCCAGAATTAAAGTTTTTATTATTTTTTATACATTGTAAAACATGGACGTTTATTTATGTGGTTAAATTCTATTAAAATTTACATGCTAAAATAAAATAGACCATTTTCAAATTATTTAGATTCAGATATTTCCATCAGATTAAGCAGATATTTATCCTAGCCCAATTGCAAGAGATTAATGATGAGAAAACGATCAAGAAAAGATTAAATAAATGAGGTTAACTTATAAATCAAGGACAGAGAGGATAGAATTGGAAAGCTTGTATTGTGAGAAGAATGGATGTAAAGGAAGGCAATGTAGACACTTCCAGAAGGGATAGCAATATAGTTTAGACCATATGATGAAAATTGGAGGGAGATGACAGAGACACTTTCAAGTGAAATGACAATTTATATGGGGGAGAAAAATATTGAAGATATAACAAGATGAGAAAAGGCATAGAAATGTATCGCGTACAAGGCATAGAAATGTATCACATACAAGCGAAGTTCTTTTTGAGGGTAGAAAAAGATAATTTAACCTTCTTCATATTTTTCTTACTTTCCCAAGATACTCAGGCAGCATCAACTCTAACAGGACATAATTTGGCTCCTAACACTTAAAACATATCCTTTAGGTTGTCTCTTCACACAGAGCTGAATCTGGTTTTGCCACATGTCTAGAGAGGAGGTTCTCACCATATTTTAAATCCTATTTAAAAACTGCTAGGACAAGAACCTTGGGCTAATTCAGCAGATGAAGAGAATCTCCTAATGCAAATCAACGTGTATTTTTGAGCAGGTTTTTCAGAAAAACAGTGTCAGGCCCTGAGAATGATACTAAGATGAGAACATTGATTTTGCCTTCATGGTATTGACAATATAAAGAGAAAGGGGGGTTTTCAGAAAGCTAAAAGAAGAAGTAGAAGAAAAAAGAAAGACAGAGTATAATAGGTAGTCAAATTATGTACAGAAAAAAGAGAAAAAAAGACCAAAGAAGCGGGGGGCAGACAACCCAACTAAAAAATGGGCCAATGACTTGAACAGGGACTTCGTAAAAGAGAAAATGCAAGTGGCTCTTTAATATATAAAAAGATGTTCAACTTCATTAGTCATTACAGAAATGAAAATCAAAACTACAATGAAATACCACTATAAAATTAACATAATGGATAAAATGAAAGACGATAGAAGACAAAATGTTGCCAAGCGTGTGGAGCAACTGGAACTTTCATATGCTACGAATGTGAACTTTGGAAAGCTGCTCAGCAATATCTCCTAAAGTTAAATGTACAATTCCAGTGACTCAGACGTTTTACTTAGAAATGCACATATACATCCATAAAACATGCACAACAATGTTCATAGGAGTACTATCTGTAATAGCCCAAACAGGAAGTTGTCTGTTAAGAGAAGAATGAGTAAATAAACCACGGTCTATTTATATAGCAATAAGAATTAACAGACCCTAATACATAATAGACGAATGGGTCTCATAAACACGATATTGATTGAAGGAAGACAAAAGGTACATTCTTTTAAAGGTTTATAAAATACTTTTTAAAAACAGCTACAACCAAACTGTCCTGTTAAAAATCAGTGAGTGATTTCCCTTGGGCGAGGATGGGGGTCGTGGCTGGATGGATGGTACTTAAGAAGTGCTCCTGGAGTACTAGAAATATTTTATTTCTTGACTTGGAGGTGTGTTTACTTGGTGAATATTGTACATTTATGATTTGTGCACTTTTATATATGTAGAAAATAAAACAGAAAGCAAATTCAAAGTATCATCCTTTTGAGAGCTTCTGCTCTGTTTGACTTCGTTTTGACCTGTGGAGCAGTTGGGAAGGGGTCTTGGTCCTCTGCTTTTTTTTTTTTGAGACAGAGTCTTGCTCTGTTGCCCATGCTGGAGTGCAGTGGCTCAATCTTGGCTCACTGCAAGCTTCGCCTCCCAGGTTCATGCCATTCTCCTGCCTCAGTCTCCCAAGTAGCTGCAACTACAGGCGCACGCCGCCACCCCCGGCTAATTTTTTGTTTTTTTTAGTAGAGACGGGATTTCACCGTGTTAGCCAGGATGGTCTCGATCTCCTGACCTACTGATCCGCCTGCCTCGGCCTCCCAAAGTGCTGGGATTACAGGCGTGAGCCACCGCGTCCTGCCCCTGGTCCTCTGCTTTCATGTTCTTCTTGGTCCTCTTCCACCTCCTCTTTTCTTGGAACTTCCAGTATCAGAGCAGGAAGGAAGGCAATGGGATAATTGATGCTGTCAGCTTTTGGATCAAACTGCAAGTTCTCAAACAGCAGAATTAATGAGCTCAGGCTTCGAAGAAACTATGACCCTGAAAGCATCAGTTGCTTCCAATTGCATCAGTTGCCACGGGTGGTAAGAACAATGATGACTCAGCATGCCTAGGTATTCCCAGCAGGTTCTCTGACTGATTCCTGACAGATGACTTTGGTGTGTCAGACTTTCAGGGTATTCTTTCCTCATGTGATGGTTTAAGGAAGAGTTACCATTCACATTCCTAATGGCTTCAGAATAGATGCAATTGTGAACTGGTAGGAAACATTTCTAACTCATCTCCCCTCCCCATCCCTAAAGGATTGTTTCTAACATTAATAGTCATGAAAATTAATTCACTTTTCTCAAATAACTTATTGTCATCTATCTAATGATGAGATGACCTGCTTTTTCTCCTTGACTGTTAAATATTGTGAATTATATTAATGTATTTCTTAATGTTGAGCTTTCCCTTGAATATTCTTTTGATGTACAACAGAATTTGATTCACTAATAGTTTATTTAGGACTTTGGCTGATGTGCTGATGATATATGAGATTGGCTCTGTACGCACACATGTATTTTGTGTATCTTTTTTGTGTCTGGATATGCAGCTTATGCTGATTTCAAAAATAAGAAAGGAGAACTTTCCTTTTTCCTCATTACTCTGAAAAAGATCGACTAGAATGGAATTTTTATAATTGCTATTGTTATTTGAAAGCTTGAAAGCATTGGTTTGTAAAAATTATGCAGGCTGAAAGCCATTTTGAGGAGACTTCTTTGATAACTTTCTCAATTTCCTTCAGTTATTGGTCTTTTAAGGGGTTCTGTGTTTTTCTTTGATCTATTTTGACCATTTATGTTATCTTGGAGGATCATCTCTTTTACACACTATTTACAGTATATTTGCAAAATTTTCAACTGTTTTATCAGACTAACTTTTTAATAATATATTCATTTTATCTATATCTGAGGTTTTAGCTTGTTTGTACTTCTGACCCAATTGCATGTGTGCTTTCTTTCTCCTTCATTAGACTACTTAGTCATTTACTAATTTTAGGAATAGCTTGTCTTTTATTTATTTATTTATTTATTTATTTATTTATTTATTTATTTTTGAGACAGAGTCTTGCTCTGTCACCCAGGCTGGAGTGCAGTGGCTTGATCTCGGCTCACTGCAACCTCCGCCTCCCGGACTGAAGTGATTCTCCTGCTTCAGACTCCCGAGTAGCTGGGATTACAGTCATGTACCACCATGCCTGGCTAAGTTTTGTATTTTTAGTAGAGACGGGGTTTCGCCATGTTGGCCAGGCTGGTCTCAAACTCCTGACCTCAGATGATCCACCTGCCTTCGCCCGATCTCAGCTCACTGCAAGCTCCGCCTCCCTGGTTTATGCCATTCTCCTGCCTCAGCCTCCTGAGTAGCTGGGACTACAGGCGCCCGCCACCACGCCCGGCTAGTTTTTTGTATTTTTTTAGTAGAGACGGGGTTTCACCGTGTTAGCCAGGATGGTCTCGATCTCCTGACCTCATGATCCGCCCATCTCGGCCTCACAAAGTGCTGGGATTACAAGCTTGAGTCACCTCTCCTGGCCGTCTTTTTATTTTATAATCTATTAGCTTTATCTTTTATCAAACTTGTGTCCTATTTCCCTTTGCTTTACTTCATATAAATTTTGTTTTGGATACTTACTTTATTTATTTTTCATTCATTTGTATTTAATTATGAAACAGGTTAAAGCTTAGAGGAAAATTTCTCCTCTAAGTCCACTTTTGTGGGCAGATTACATTTTGCTGCGTTGTGCTCCCAAATTCATTGTTCTTTTAATGCTTTATTTCTCAAGTTAATAACCTATATAGTAAAAAAAGCAGCTGTTGACTCTCAGCTTTTTTTTTTTTTTTTTTTTGTAGATACAGGGATCTTGCTGTGTTGTTCAGGTTAGTCTGAAACTCCTGGCTTCAAGGGATCCTCCTGCCTTGGCCTCTCAAAATGCTGGGATGACAGACATGAGCCACCATGCCCAGCCATGTCTCTCTCCTTACATATAATAAGAAAACAGATACACTGAGGCAACCTGTCACCTCACTCTTGGTTTCATTACCGTTCTCTGGAAATTTTGCTCTGACGTTTTGCAGTTAATGTATTAATTTTGCATTGAGTAGTTTCCATACAAGAGTTATAGCGTTTGCATTCTATTGGATATTGTACTTGCCACTGTTATTTGAACATAATTTGAGGACTGAAACCAAGGTGAGGCAAGTGAAGTGCCCAGGGAGCAATATTTAAGGAGGCATCCTTTTTCAGGCTCATGAAGAATAGAATTAGCACATGAGAGTGAGTGCCTCCTTAATTTTGAGTACTGGACACTTCTTGCTCACTTAGCATAGCCCTGGACAATGAAGTGTTTTTTGTTTTGTTTTTTCATGTCCATCCTTTATCATCTCAAAACATTTCAATGGAGTATTTTTTGGAGCAGTACTTGGATGAGACTCTGAGTCCCAGAATAGCGAAGAATTTCTTTCTTAGTACTCTACATGACCACTGTGGCGCCTTAATACATTGTAATAGTAACTTAGCTGGCAACAGAAATTTTGTTTTGCGATTTGTCTTATTCAGAACAGTATTAACTTCCTGCTAGTCTCTTCTGATGTCCAATATGAGGAAGTCTAGTTGGTCAGCTAATTTTTGTAGGAGAGCCATGTTTAGGCTAGGTGCTATAGGATTCTCTTTACCCTGGAATTTCTTCACCAAGGTGTCCCAAGGTGTTAATCATTTTCCCTTGCTTTTTGGCTGGTGGTCTTAGAGTTTCCTTCGATTTTGTTTTTATTTAGTGATT